AAGAGATATAGAAGTGGACGTACAAGAAAGAGAAGAGAAAGTGAGAGCGTCTAGGTCTTGCGCGAGTTATAGGAGAGTGTATGGGATACCAATGTATATAAGAACGTGTAAGAGGAATGAAGGAAAAAGACTAGTGAAAATAGCGAGGTGGAGATGCGGGAATGAAGAGAGGGGGTATAAGTTTTGGTTGAATGAGGAGGAGAGGAAGTGCAGATTGTGTGCAAGAGAGAGAGAGAATGTGTATCATTTAAAGTATAAGTGCGAGTATGTGAGGGAGAAAGGAGAAAGAAATATAAATATAGATGTTTTAAATGAGGATGGGAGAGGAATTAGATGGATGAAGATGATAGAGCGAGTCAGAGGAGAGAGAGAGAGAGAGAGAGAGAGAGAGAGAGAGGGGGAGAGTGAATAGTTTTAAGCCTGCGCAATGTGTCATGGGTGTAGATGTAAGATATAATATATTAATTTTTGTAATATAAGTAAAAGGAAGTCTTTGTAAGCACTTAAGGGTGAAATGCAATAAAAACTACTACTACTACTACTACTACTACAACTTTACAGAAAAACTGCAAGAGACAAAAATCATTTATTTTCTTCTCATAGAACTATAAGAATTTTTTCAGCATTTTTTATCAATTTTTTAGTATTGCATTTTGTAATTTTTACCAACATGAGAAAATGCATTAAAAAAAATGTATTTAAAAAATGCATTTTAAAAAAATGTATTTAAAAAATGCATTAAAAAAAATGTATTAAAAAATTCTGAAAAAATTCTTAGAGAAAAAAATTAATGATTTTTGTCTTTTGCAGTTTTTCTGTAAAGTTAATATTTGAGTAAAAAATTATTCAAGACCAATATTTGGTAATTTTTAGTAATTAATATCTTGTTAACTATTGCGAAAATTGTAAGATGGTAGAGAATTTTTCGACTCAGTTTAGTCCGCTTTATTTATATATAAGCGATTGACCAAACTTATGGACATAATACATATACGGAATATAATATTATACACACATATACAGTGTGTCTCATTTCAAGGATCCACTCAAATATCAGAAACATTGCATTAAATCCAGAAATGTTTCAAACCAAAGTTTGTCTACTTCAAGGGGGATATAAGATAGTACCATAGGTTTGACCTTGAATGGCGTTGTCGAGGTCAGGACAAGGTCACTTTGAATTTTTTAAATAGAATTCCCCATATTTTATTACACATTTTTATAGCTTTTACCTCAAAAGCTTTTCAGAACATTATAATAAACTATTTTTTCATTAAGTACTTTTCGAATTATAATTGAAAGTTACAGTACCATCGACTACATACATACCGTCGAGTACATTGGCCGTCAACTATCCAAGATGTCTGACTGATGATTAAAACCTCTTAAATGTTGTTCAACATTATGACTTGGATAACATTTGTCAAGATTAAGGCCATTGGAGGTTGTACCTCTTATTTTCATTTTTGCACTGAAAATTGTTTTTTACGAAAAAATGAAAATAAGAAGTATAATTTCCAATGATCTTGATTTTGACAAATGTTATCCAGGTCATGATGCTGAACAACTTTTAAGAGATTTAGTTTTATATATATATATAATATATATAGATAAAAGATCTATAGGCAGAATTTTAAAAAATAATAGGTCATTTTGAAGGGAATTTAATAAGCTTTAAGATGTCATATAAAATTTAATTCAAATTCTATTTTTTTTGAAAATTAAAGAAATGTAAAAAGTGAGCAAATCGCAAAGTCAAAAAATTGTACTCTTAATATGAGATGTCCCGAGAAATCGATAGTAAAACGCAAAGTCATATCAATATTTCAATTAAAAAACTTTATAATGTTTGTAAAATACAAACAAACACAGCGTGCGCGAAAAATGATGCGATAGATTGTATCCAGAACTCAGTTCAGGTAGTTGGAATCAAGCATCGCAGACATAGGCACTCGATGTTCATTTTGATTGTCTTTTTTATTATTGTACAATAACATTTATACTTTAGCAATGATTTTCACTATAACATAGGAGCATGGGTTATTTCATATTAAGATACCCTGGGGATCTCATATTACGATTTCCACATTTTATCATTTTACGATCATCAAATCTAACTTATGTTATTAAACAATTCAACATATCCCGTATTTTTTTATTAGTACGACCTTACTTTATCACTACATGAAGAATTTATTGCCGAATATTTATTTATTAAATAATAAACAAGGTTTAAATGCTCATCTCAATAAAACTTGAAGATATCCAAATTCTATTATAAAATCTTGTTTTATAATGAATATAAGCATGATCTAATAATGAATTTTCTACTAGTTTTCAATCGAAGAGCAATAAATTCATGATGGAACCAATAGATAGCGTTTATTAGTTTTACAAACGCCACTCTCATGTTAGGCGTCTATCTCATAATAGGAGGCTTTCCTCTATATATGCTTTCTAGTAATAATCCAGTAAACACGTAAATGTCTTACAGACATTCCGAAAGACAACTTAAAAGAGATGTCCGTAAGACTGTTTTGAAAAGACAACTTTAAGCTGACTTTCAGTCAAGTTTTAAAGACAACCTTTTTTATGTAACAACAGATGTCGTTCAGACATCCATTTAAATCATCTTTCAGATCATCGTTTTAAGACATATTTGAGAACAAAAGATAAGACATTTTTATAAAATAATTCGTAAAGTCGAACTGGCGATATGACGCATTTATAACATATCACACGTAAAATACGCGGTGCTTTCAGTATTGTTGGTATCGTGCTAGTTACTTATTGGATTCTTTCGATTACTTTCTGCTCCGGCAATTCCGGCGGAACGCCGAACCATCTAAATCGTATATGTGTACATTGCAATATTTTATAAATATTGAATGAACAATGGCCATGTTCTGGTAAACATTGTCAACACTGAAAATCTATAGTATTCGTAACGTGAACTGTAGATTTTCGAAAATCTATAGTTTACGTTATGTACATATTATAGATTTTCAGTGCTGTCAGTGTATATCAAAACTCGGCCAATATAATCTATAAAAATCATTATGTCCAAAAGCAGTCTGAAAGACGTCTGAAGAATGGCATTATAGAATGTCTCAAAGACGTCTTATAGATATTACAAGGACTGTCTGAAAGACAGTCATCAAAATGTCCAAAACATGTCTTACATGTCTTATTATACGTCTGACAGACGTGTAATAAGGCTACTAAAAGATATAAGACGTCTTAAAGACGCTTTAAAGACGTCTTTTAGTTAAAAATGTCAGACGTCCGAGGAAATTTTAAGTTTTCTTAAAGGCATTTTTTAAGACAACTTACTGTTTACTGGGAACTTTAATAAAACAGTTTTTATGATCTAATTTTTTTTGTCTAATACTAAATCTGCTAAACGTACCGGTATAGTTTTTGTCGAAGTGAAGGAAGTTGATGTGCTGAGTGTCGTAGTTGTTGCAGGTGTCGTAGAAATCGTCGTGGTCTTGACGATCGTCGTAGACACGGTCGAAGTTGACGGCTCCTCATCGTCAATTGCATTTTCAGACGAACTGGTACCATTTATCGGATCCTGTAGACAGCATCGCATACTTATCGTGGGACACAGCACATCTTCAAGGACGTCGTCGCACATTATCGTCGCCAACGTGTGCACACATACTCCTGGACAGTCGGCGATCTTCGCCGTACTCGTTAGAGAATTTAAAAAACCTATATATACATAAATCACTCTTATCATTCTTGATCTATTAAAGACATAAAATAAAATTCATATAATTTAAATTTATTAACATATTTTTTATTCGTAAAAAAATTTTTTTTTTTAATTCAAATTTAACAATTCAAATTTGAATATATTGATATATTTCAAATTTATATTATTTTATTTATAATATAAATTTATATTTATTCGAACTTGGTTGAGATAAAAGTTCAAAACTGGTTTATTCGCTATAAAATTAAATTGTCATATAATCTTAATTGAAATTAATTAATTGAAATTAATAATAACTATTCGATATATTAAACATAATATAGATTTAAAGTATAAAAAGTTTTTTAAAGGAGACAAGAAATAAATTAAATTTCTACAGGACGATTTTACTGGTATATTTCAGAACATATAATTTAAATTTTGTGGTACACTTTTATATAAAGTTTCTCCAAATTCATCTTGTATAATTTAAGCAAAAACTCGCATTATAACCACAAAGGAATTCCACGAGAAAAATAAAATTTTTGTAAGCTTTAAGATTGGAAACAAGACCGTTTAGATTAAATAATATTACTTTGAATACAAAGCGCCATGTTTATTACAGTGAATACAAAACGCCATGTTTATTACAGTTTTTTAAAATTAATTTGGGAAATTTGGAGGGATTATTAATAATTCAGATTGATTGCGTTGAAAGTCCGAGAATCATATCGATACGCAATTATTATTTCTGACATTAATTCATTTATATGAATATATATATTAGTTCAACATCTCAACACTCAGACCGTAGTGGCGCTTTATATTCAAAGTAATGTTTTGTAACTTCCATTTAAGCTTCAAAAAGATTTCTCCGGGAATTCCTATTTTCGCTTTTAAGAGTTCCCTGGAAGCTTCATTTTGGTTTGCAGGGAGTTCTTTTTAAGCTCTCCGAGAGCTCAGCAAAATGAACTCTTTGAGAATTTATTTAGTCGAATTTATAAGTTCCCTGGGAGCTCAGCAATACTTCCTTAGAGTTCATTTTGTCGAATTTTATAAACTCTCCGAAAGCTCAGCAAAATGAACTCCCTGGAAACTTAATTGGAGCTTTGTGCTGTATGAATATGACTCATTCTAAATTTCTTATCAACATTAATATACGGAGAAAAAAATAATGTAGAGTAGCTAACAGTTCAAAATAATCTTGTTTCAATAACAATAGATACTATAAATATTATAATTTATATAATAACTTTATTAAAACAAGAGCACGTGTTTATTAAATTAATAAGATTTTTTAATCAAAAAGAGCTAACTAGTGCTCACTTAATACATTTTTTATATATAAAAAACATACAAATTTATCACAATTACCGTAGCAATTATAGTTATTACCTTAGCAATTATAAAAGAATTAAGAAGAGATAAACAAAAGTATCAGATGGAGATATTCATTGTAAAAGTCACGAAGGCACAAGTGGTGAAGGCAATCGAAATTGTAACTGTCTCAAGTTCTGAGTTCATTATACCTGACTTAGGTTTTCTAATCTAGAAGAGAGACAATTTTCGATTCGAGTGTGCGAGTCGCGGGCCAGATGTCAATCGAGGACAATGTTACCTCATAGCTCGTGGCAACGAGATTAGAGGGAAGTCTCTTATGAAATTACTGTCACTGTTGCTGCCGTTAATTGTAACTGTATATCGTTTACAGGCGTAGTCAGAGCTCCGCATACGTAATTTCATTAGCAAGACTATATTTACAAAAGTGGTCAAGAATGATTACAAACTTGATCTTGATAAATATGAGAATCAAGTTAACCGGAGAGCTAACTCACTGTTATCGGGATTCTTCTTCGTCGAATCAAAGAATTTATCAGATTACATTTATCAGATTACATTTCATTAAGCAATATTGTATAAAACCATTTTACTATTTAAGGAAAATATCTGTTATTTGGCTACTAAAGAATGATTCTTGTGGATACGTAGAAGGATTAATACATATTTCTCGCTATTATTAATAATTATATATTATTAATGTATTTTTCGCTTCCATAAATTAACTATATTAAAGGAACGTCTCTCTTAAATATATGACACTATTAACCCTTTTCTTACCGGGTATTTACGCATCCGTGAGTAAGCTCTCTCTGTAGCAAGGATTCCGCCACAATTGCTCACTTTAAAGCCTGCTCTACAATATGCTCTTTGTTTCTTATTTCTTGCTTTTTACTTCTTATTTCCCCCCCTCTTTGTAACCATTTTAACAATAATTATATTTTTTGTTACTGTTTCCTGTTTCTTCCGAAGTTCGTTAACTTTATCTCGGATAACAGAAAACAAACAACCAGATAAAAAGCAAAAAAGTAAAAAAATAGCAAACAACAAGAAACAGGAAATAAAAAATATATTATAGAATAGGCTTAAAAATAGAGCACGGCCGCGAAATTAGTTATACAGCCGATTACAGAAAGATTGCAACACTTTTTTTTCGATGAATTACGGAATACAACTTATTCACCAAGCGATTGGTTCTTAAGGTGCATTTTCACGAGCCGTTTCACAGCCGTTTCAAACTGGCCGTTTCAGCAACAAAAAAGATTACATGATGACTTTTGTCTCAAAACCATTAGAGTGATAATTTTGACTGTGTTCGAAAACGTCGCTCGGATGCCTCCGATGCTTCGGTTCGTTCTCACCTTTCTCCTGACACTCTCTTTATCTTTCACATATTTTAATTTTGTTAAATTATAAATATTAAATGTTAAATAAACATTAAATGTTAAAGAAGGACAGATGATGATCTGTCCTTGTTTAACATTTCATGTTTATTTAACATTTAATATTTCAATAGTCACTATACAGGGTTGGCCATATTCGACGGAAAGATGTTTTTTTTTTCAATCAATGGGAAATGTCGTTACTCGATCTAACATCTCTTTCCCATGATTGAAAAAAAAAACATCTTTCCGTCGAATATGGCCAACCCTGTACTTACGATACGCTAGTTTACGGAGAGAGTCAAAAGATAATCTAATCCCTTTTCTTCCACCTCATATCAAAATATCAATCACGAACTGTTGGAGACGATAAAATTTCAGACGTAGAGACCACGGTCCATTCAAGGGATCGTAGTAGATTCTTCTTTTAATAAAACGAATAAATAAATCAATTCCTAGTAGAAACTCCATACCTTTGGAGTTGTATTGGTTAAACTGCAATATCGATGGCTGACTAAACAAAGACTAGATATCAAGTTTGCTGTAAAAGTTTAAAAATCATAAACTTTTGAGACTCGAAGAGGAATTTCATTTATCGTCATTCACACCATACGTTCGTAACTGGCGATGATATTTTTCTGTAGATATAATTCTAAGAAGAGACCGCGAATCTAGCAATAATAATTTTTACACAAAACAACGTCCAAAGTTTATTTTAGCCCATTCCCACCCATTCCTATTCTTGGCGACACTAGAGACCCTCTAATGAGAGTCGCGACACGAAGAACAGAGACTCTTGTTAGGTTCTTTTCACGATTTCTTTCTCTTAAGAGTCTCTAGTTTCTAAACTTGATAGTTTCTAGTAAGTCGTGATATGCTTTTCTAATCTTGAAGATTAGTATGATTTATTAGAAGATTATTAAAAATAATTGCAAAATGGTTGAATATGCAACCCCATTTTGCACTAATTCTGCAGCTAAAAGCTACGTAATGAAAATATTTCCATGTGATGCTAAACATGCATTATGAGCAACAAGTAGAAAAAATTAGACATTAACGAAAAATAGATATCTCTGTGAAATTAAGCAACATAATTGTATAGCTTCATTATAAGAAAATTGATAAAATATGTAGTATTAATAATAATGTAATATAAATAATTAATAAAATATGTAGTATTTTATTTATATATGTAGTATGTTAATGCCGACGGTACTGTAATTTTCAAGTCTTATAATGTATTTAATAAAAAATATTTTTTATTATGTTTTGAAAAGCTCTCATGGTAAGCTATAAGATATGTAATGAAAAATAGAAAGTTTTATTAGCAATTGTTCAGTCGTTCAGTAAGCTTAAGTGCAATAATTCATCCAACATTTGTGCCCAACATACACTTTTCTTCAAGCCATCATTTTAAAACAGTCATCCCTTCGAGGCAAACTCAGAGTCAGCCCGAAAAACGCCGCTTCATTTATCCGAGCGGGGCTTCAAAAAGTGAGTCACTCATTTCTGCCCTTTGTTTTTTTTTCCTTTTTTTTCTTTTCTTACACTGCGTTATACATCGATCGTTATTATTATATTTTAATCATTCCTTTCCAGCCTCTGCATTATTCCTTTTAACTCTTTATTTCCACCGTTCCCTCGAGTTCGATAGATCACCTATCGTTCTCGTTCTTCAATATTCATCGAATTACTGGATAAATTCTATATCCGCTACCTTAACTTCCCCATTCTTCCATTTACCTGCTAAATCCTCGCATTTTCCTTCTATTTCCATTTTAATGCAGAACCTAATATAAAAACAATTTCTTTTTCTTATTGGTTTATTTCTTAAATCTCATACCGGCCACCACACTCCCATCTTTTTCGGTGCGCAGCTAAACGTCAAAGAAGTCAGCGGGCTCCTAGGCGAAATCTACCATAAATTCTTAATAAATTTGAATAATAATAATAATACAAATAGTAATAATAATACTATTAGGTGTTGGAATTAATTCGTAGCGTTTTTTAATGAAAGAATGTTACTTATTTCACATGAGCATTAAAAAATACATTAATGAAAGTACTTCCCATCACTTGTAAAACGCTACGAATTAATTCCAACACCTAATAATATAAATAGCAATAATAATAATGATTTTAATAATATTATATTAGTATATATTATATTAGTTTAGCCAATAATAATAATAATATTGAACATTCAATCGCAAGCCCAATCAAGGATGAGATGATTATTTTGTTACTTAGTTGCTTGTTGAGGCATGATCTAATTCCCATCAGGGCTGCGTTTAGAT